ATAGAAAAAATATCATGTTTTTTTAATTTTTTACACAAGGTAGTTATTGCTTGTGAAATATAATAAACATAAGGTAAGACTAGGGTTCGTGATAAGTCAAAATCTTGGGTAATTATATCATTGTTATTCTTATTTGTCAAGTAGGTTATTTTTTTTTCGATGTTATCTTTTATGAAATCATATGGAAAATTGTTTTCTTGTAACAATCGAAAGACAATGTCCATATTTTTATTAAGAAACCTTTCCTCGGATAGTGTGAAGTCTCTATCGACAAGAGAGAATATGATACCTCTCTTATGGTTTATATGATGGTTAGATAAAAAATTTAAAAGGCGACCAGAAGCATAAGGTTTCTGGCACCAGTCGGTTTCGATAAAGCCTTGAGAAAAAATTAATTTTAAATCAAGGAAGTTAATTTCATTATTTTTTTTTCTATAACTAAAAAATTCCAAAATTCTCTTTTACCATCATCCAAGGACAGAATCCCCAAATTTGAAAGAACAAATGTGGTATATAAGATTCCATATGGAAATTGTGACAGTGTATACATTGGACAAACTAGTAGACAATTAAAGAAGAGAATCTATGAACATAATTATTCTCAAAATAAAGACCACACAAAAACTGCATTATGCAGACATGCACATAATTTTAAACATAGTTTTGATTTTAATTCTAATAATATTAAAATCTTAGACAGTGCTAATTATTTTAAAAAAAGAAATATTCTTGAAATGTACCACATTGTAAAAAATGGAAATGCCATTAATTTTAGAACTGACACCGAAGGACTATCCATAATTTACCATGATGTTATAGGTACCTTAAATTGTTTCAATTAGCACTCTAGTATATTATACCTATATTTTAAAATGAATATTCGCGCTTTTTGTAATCTTCGTATCTAGCGCATTATAAAAATGTTAAATCTCCGTATTTCGTAAACACTAAGCTTGTCTCACAGTGTATAGCCGCATCAAAAATTTGTTCTCACGCTCCTACCTCTATGGAGAATATTCTGTGCCATAAGATGACAGCATGTTCATTTTTTACACCACACATTTTTATTTTTATTTAATTGTATATTTTTTTTTATATAATGTGTTGTTTGTGTTTATTATTTTTTAATGTTGAGTGTTTATTCTATGTTTTTTTACATTCAGTGACATGCATATACACATAACAAAAATCTCAACGAAAAACATCAATTCTAACCTCAAAGAAATTTTTTTGTCATCTTTTATTTTTGTTTTCATGTTTTATGTTTTTTATTGTATATAATGGTTTGATCAAAAATCCCATTATTATTATTAATTATTTCGAAATTCTCATGCTGGTATGTTTTTTCTACTTTATTATTTTTTGTCTTTTCTCGACGAAATCTTCTCATCTGTTATATGTATTTTTTACAGTCTTGAAGAGTCGTAATATCACGACGAAATGCATAGACGAATTCAAATTTTTTCTAAATATATGAAAATTCTTTTGTGAACAAAAACACCGTTCTTATTTAATAGACCAAAGGCCACAAAAATATTATCTGAATTTTAACAATAAGGTCTACAACATTCACTATTGTTTTATATAGTTTATATTTTCACCACGGAGCGCTGATGTAAGGGAGGAGACTTTTCATTTAAAGCCATAGGTATCTCTAACCCCCCCTACAAAGGGCATACTTTTAGCGCTACGAACTATGGGCGTGAGGTCTCCTTATCCTCCTTCATGATCAGAACATTCTAATTGCTTTGATGTTTTGAGGTTATTCATTTATTACTGTAGCATCGATAAAACAGTGAGTGTATGCGCGTAACCTACTCGTAGTGAGCGTGTAAAAATGAATTCATTTTGGCAGAATATAAAATATGAAAATAAGTGACATGTTTTTAATCATTTCTTAAAATGATATTCTTGAATTTTATATGAAGTAATTAATGAATTTTAAAATGTAAGATTTAGAGATTATAAAGAAGTTTTGTTTAAATCTAATACAAAAGAATGTATATATTAATTATTAGAGGCAATGTAGTGCAAGTGCCTCGAGGACAGGGACAGTAGGGGACATTTAGTCTGCTTTTTAGTCTGTCATTTCGTTTTAAAGCACCTTAAAGTTTTTCTATAAGTTAATAAAAAATTAGAGTATGTTAGATATTAATCAAATAAACCAAACAATATTCATTTGCTACCTAAAAACTTTTTTTTTGACCAAGGGACATAGATTTTACATTTTAAATGAAATGAACCATACACTAAATGTGGACAACCAAGGCAGTTTTCTAAAGCTTAACTCTCATAGAAATGATATTAAAAAAATTTACTTTGTTATGTATAAAGGTCTATTAATTATTTAAAAAATATTTACTTTTGGCCTCTAAAAACCAATGTGCCTATTTTTTTACTTGTAAAGCTTGCATAAAATCTTTAAACGTGTTGCAGTAAGTTCGTACATAAAAACTAAACATTTTTCTCTTTGGAACCCCATCTCTATAACTAACTGTTTCTGAGATATTCCATTTGTAACAACTGCACAGCGTAACAACCGCATCTAGTCTCCACTAATATGTCTCTTTTTGAATGAAATTAGAGCCGAGTTCAGGTATTAAAGTAGAACCAAATGACTATTTCATACTCTAAATCTGCTGTAAATGACTTATTTTTAGTAAAAATTAACTAAAAAATTAGGTAAATTTGACTAATTGAATCCGTTTTTAGAGAGTAGGGTAAGTGCACTAGTTCCTGCGGGATTCGAGCCAAGATATTTTTTGCATAGAAAAAAAATATTTATAACAAACACTGAGAAAAATGGATATTAAGCTTTATTATCTAGATATTATATTAAGATTTTTAATATCTAGTTTTCTCAGTGAAGGAATTAAATTTAAAATTTATTAAACTAATTGTTTGTATTCTTAAGAATTTTTTACAAAAATTAATAGCCTAAAAAATTAAAGCATTTGATTAAATTTAAATAATTAAAAAGAATATCAAAAGCGTCTAATTCTGCGTGCTGTGATCGCCTGAGGCCTTTTCTTCATTACGACAACAAAATTAATATTTAGAAATATTTATCAACATATTAAACTGAAATATCATTATCTTCATGGTTTTTTTTATCAAAATATTTTGTATAATTTTAAATATTGAAAAATAATATCTGCGTTTATAATTGTGCGCAAAAATGAAATATTTGCCTAAAATGTATATGTAGTGGTTTCAACAACAAAATGTAAAAGTTTGGTCCCGATAAAATTTTCTGAAAATAAAAATGAAGCAGAATCGTTGTTATTGAATGAAAATGAAATCTATAGATAAAAAAAAGATGAACGGAAAAGAAATCTTTTGAAAAAGAAAATAAAAAAGAGTCGAAGGCCCGTTTAGTTTAATGCGCGTAATGATACTTCGTCGGTCTTTTCTTCGAGACACTCTACTTTCCAACAGGGCAGGAGTAGTATAAGTCGAGGACAAAGTAGACGGCGTACAGAAAACCTCCATTAAAGTCCCTAGAAGTGATTAGTACTCTACCTCTTCTCCTCCCTCCCCTCATTCCTTCGTCTCTCGCCTCACCCTTGAATTCAACCTATTTCCCTTATTCTTTCAGTATCTCCGTCTCTCTTCCTCACTCTCTTTCTCTCTTGTCTGGCTCATGCTCCGAGAGTGTTAAGCCACCAGCACCATCAACAATCCTCGGAATAGTGGAGGCATTAGAATCGACTCACCTCTTGCGACTCAATGCTTCATGACTAATTCATAAATTGTTCTCCCATTCGCTGCTCTCTCAAGCTTCTATGTCCTTATTTTCATTTAAAATACATCGTTATTACATTCTTCTATTGTTCTAATTAATATGAGAGTTTGCAATTCTCAAGAGCACTTTCTTTCATTTCGGAAAGCAAAGTGGTTTGGATTTTATCATTCTGATACTTTTAATTTAATTTTTTTTTCTCTCTTCAATTAATATTCTCTGTCACTTATCAATTCGAATTCTTTCCTTCTATCTCTTTAAATTAAAACAATGTTTTTTTTATTTTCTATTTTATTTCGAAAATTTTACTTTTTATTAATTAATTTGTTATTATTATTATTTAATATTATTATCATACTATTATTTTACTCAATAATTTTTTATTTACTATTTATTGAACTCTCTAATTTACTGCTTTATTCTAAATTTTAATTAGTTATTCATTTTATATTATTATTTATTATCTGTTTATTATTTATTTTATTATATCTTTAACTTCATGTAATCAAAATTTTAAGAAATTCTTCAAAAGGCTACACAGAAAAAACGATAATCTAATTTTAAGTAGTACTACTTAAATAGGAGCCAAGAATATTTCCCACTTAAATTATGTGGGAAATATCCTTATAATAAGAATAATATCAATCTTATTGTAAGTAATTTAAGTTATTTATACTTAATTAAAGTATGGAATATTCTTGAATCCTATTTAAGTAGAGCTTCTTAAAATTAGATTATCGTTTTTTCTGTGTAGAAATATAATAACTTTTTAGAATAAATTATCCGTCTTCTTTTAATTAAAAATTAAGAAATAAAGTGTAAAATGGATCATTGCGTTAGCTTTATAGCTAAAATCATCAATTTACATAAAATAATTTGCTATTATGGTTCAAGACCGACCTCCAGTACACCGAAAAAATAATATACTGAAACTTAGTATTTCCCACTAACATGAAGAATACATCCCCCTAAAATAGGTGCCAAGGATATATTCTACATGTTAGAGGAGATTCACCTAATGATCAAGAATATATTCTAATGGGAAGTGTATTATATTCTTCACCTACCGATGATAATATTTTGGCATGAAGAATAGAATATTCTAACTTGAAGAATAGAATATTCTAACTTGAAGAATAGAATATTCTAACTAGAGGAATAGAATATTGTATTGACAAAAAATTAAAATATTTTTATTTAATTAAAAAAGACACTTAAAATAATATTAAAAATTATTTATTCAAAATTAGAAAATCTTTTACAATAAATGTTTAAAGCTAATGTATTGGTTTCCATCACCCCCTGTGCGAAGGAAATAAGGGTGAAAAGACAAAACTTCATTATATGAAGATAAAAACCACGTTTGTGTCGGAGTGACATCGTAACAGTGTAAGTGATCATTGAAACCAACAGTATGTAATGCAGTTAAAATAAATTGTGTATTGCCATTTTCTTGAGGAGTTATAATAGTCTCTATAACGCCAAATAATGGCAAATCGTTTTCGTAGCGTATTGCTAAAATAAAACCTTGCTTATAACACGTGCCACGAATAAATATTTCTGATACAATTAATAAATCATCATGTTGAACAGGTAAAATATGCTGAAAATTTTCGTAGTTTTCTGCTTCGATTATAGTGTACTTTTCTGTTTTGCATTCAATATCATGAGGAAATCCAGTTTTAGAGAGAAATTTTGCACAAACATTTAACGCGTAGCGTTTCGCAATTGATAGAGGAAGATTTTTTCTACATGTCATTGATTTCGCGGTTTGTTTTATAACTGGACGATGTTTGCCTTCGAATCTGAAGCACCAAATATGTATTAAGGGGCCAACCAGTTGCATAAGACGAGGGTAATGCACCATGAAGTGGTGCTTTGGCTTTAGAGTATTTCCAAAAAATCCAGTGTATATCGCATGATGAACGTCAATTAAATTAGCTAGGTAGACGCTTGAATTATTTATAACAAAAGGAGCTAATACAAAATCTAGAATTTCAATTAAAACTTTATACAGTTTCCACCCTTCGTCGTTATCCGGAACTAAATCGCCGACCATTAATCCGAAATTTCTAACAAAAAACATCATTTCGGACGCAGACATTTTTAACTTTTCTCCTCTAATATGGTCTCTTGTGATCAAAGTTGGTTTATTTCCATAGTCAGGCCCATAATTAAAATTTTGAATACGTTCATTTAAAGTCTGAAGTGTGAAAAATTGGCGAAAAAAAATAAGATAGTCCAAAATTGCACATAGATCATAATGGCAAACGCCCTCAAATAAGTCATGCATAATGTCGACCATCAGATTTTTAACAATATGAAACGAAAATAAACTATTAAAAATACACCGAGACTTTATACCAGTAATAGAGAAATTATCAGTACGTAAATCTACTTCGTAATTTATTATATTTCTTAACATTTCGAGGTTCTCTTTTTTTTGTTGTCGCATTGTAGTTCGATGTTCTTTGCAAAAACGGCAGTAGTAATTGGCGTTGAACGATTCGACAAATCCATTAATGGATTGAAAGCCCTTATTATCTCCTAGTAATAAGCACAAAGCAAAGAATATTCGACGCTCGCCTTCTTCGGTTTGAATAAGAATACCTGTTTCTTCTAAATATTTTAAATCATTAAGAGAGGGTCTGAAAGCTTCTTCATTAAACAAAACGCGATCACTACTCAAAAATATTGACGATACAAAAATATTTTGCAGTTTCGAAAGTAAATGTTGCGGAATGCATGGGATTTCGTAATAAACAGCACCTATACTATGGTCCCCTGAATGTGATCCAGTTTGATTGTCGGGTTCCGCATCGTCAAAATATAAGAATAGAGGAAACACTGTCTTTCCTTGAAAATGGGTTTCTTCTATTTCTCTCCATAAAGGACTTTGAATAATGTTTGTGAATTTTCTTGAGTTTTTCAAACTGTCAATATAATTTAAAGTTTCATCAAGTACTCCGGGTAGTTCGAAAAATGACTTTAGCACACGTTGCATAGGAATATGCTGTCCGGTTAAATCAAATGGAGTTACAACAGCTTGTCCATTAATATTTTTAATTTTTTCTCCAGGTCCGATGATATAAGATACGGGACGAATGTAACAATCATGATCCTCAAGAGCATTCATTCTTAAGTATTCGGTTTCTAATTTAGAAAACGGATTTTGCAGAACTGAGAACATTTGATTTAACTCTCGAACATCTTCCTCTCTTTGATTAGTGTCGCGTAGCATATTATCAACTCTTGATTTAAGGTCCTCTAGAAAGCCACTCGAAGAATATTCTTTCATATAATCAATCACATCTTGAATTTGAGCTCTATTTAAAGTATTAGACGAATAAAGTTTTGCTGATAAGGCCAGAGATGAATTATACAAAGTATTTCTCAGAATCACAGATGTTGCAGGTGCCCGATCAATTTCATTATGCTCTTCATTATTACCTTCAACGGGCAATACAATTGCAATATCTCTTTCTGGATTGTTAAGATCGATTTGTTCAAAATCTTCCACTTCTCTTTCAGGATTGTTAAGATCGATTTGTTCAAAATTTTCTACCTCTTGATGTTGAATGGGAAAAGGATGATCCCGATTTAAATGTTTTCGGAAAGATTTCGCAGTGCCGTACTCTCTGTCACAGCCATTTTGACCACATTTAAAAACACTTAAAACATTAAAGCCATGTATAACTTTCAAGTGGTTACATAAACCATTAATAATAGGGATAATTAATCCACATTCACTGCACACGTACATTTTGGTGATTTATTTCTGTTGCTGTCCCAATCCTCTGAGTGAACTAATGACTGCACTCACTCTCTGTATTTTCTCATCTCCCTTTAAATAAATATCGAAGAAATAATTTTGGATAAAGTAAAAGACAGCTTTGCACGGTGTTAAATACGCAGCGTCGAGAGCGAAATGTGATTTAAAACAGACATCAAGAGCCTTAATCGGTGTCCTCAAAAGGTAACGTACACCATTTATCTGCACATAACTTGCAGAAATTTCCGATAAAGTTGGTCCAACTAATATGATGAATGGTTGAAGACTCAAATTGAGATTTTTTAGTTTCTTGGCATGTTGCTCCACGGATCTTTGCAAATCTCCAGGAATCTACAAATAAAAAGCATATTATATGAATGTAATTTTTTTTAACTTGTATAATAACTTGTTCAATAATTTGTGCAATCTCACCTTAACATGAAGAACAAAAGATATTCTTGCTTCTGCAAATGTTGTCACATCAGATGATTCTTTGCGGCGAATTCTTTTTGATAGTAAAGATGGTAACATGTGAATAATTATTGAATCACGTTTTCCTTTTCACAAAATTAAAATATATTATTATTTTTATATAAATAATTATTTTATTAACATATTTTTTAGCATATTCTTTGGGCAACATACCTTCTGGAGCGGCGTCATAATCCTTCAATAATTTCAAAGTGTGCAAATCTGTTTTAGCTACTTCTTTTTTAATCAGATTAACAATCAATATTTTTCTAGTTTCCCATCGGGCGAGCAAACCGTCTTCTTTTCCAGGGAACAATTCTTTAAAATCTTGATCCAGCTAAAAAAATTTATTAAAATTTAACCAAATTATTGTTAATCAATTTTAAGGTAATTTAATTTAAGTTTAAATATATCAATAGGAAAATTAAAATTCGAAGCACATTACATTGTCCAATATACTAAGAAGAATTTAAAAATAATATACAGGCTTCACACTGACCCTATAAATGTATTTTAGGGGAAATAGGGGACTGAAAATTTAAAAATAAGGGACTTTTAGGGGACCATAAAATTGGTTAAATTAAGATAAAAATATAATTTATTTATACAGGGTTGCTACTAAGATTTCACTTTATTTTTTCCTGACCCTAAAGAATATTTTGATTTACTCTAAAAATTATTAGATACTCAAAAAAAGTTCTATTAAAATTTACAAATTTCTTCAGACGTAAATTTATTTGAAAACATCAATAGTTTTATTTAAAATAAATATTTAATCTTTTTTTTTTCATTGGAATTAAGTTGTTCAAAAATTTCAAATTGAACAACTCACAAGAATATTATTATAAAACATAAAGATGACAGACTGACAAAATCATTATTTTATTATTTCAAGAATATTATTACCGTAATTTCTTCAAAATTATTTGTATGATTTCGATTCAATTAACATATTCTAGAATTTTTAACTAGAATTGTACAACTATTCCAAATAGATTAATTCTACAGAATTGTTAGTTAAAAGTACGAAAAAAAATAATTTAATTCTACGAGAAATCAATTATTTAAATACAAAAATAAATAATATTGAATGTTTTTTAAAATTTAATTTTTACAAAGAATTGTATTAACAACTTTTAAAAATAATTAAATTCCTGAGAAGAATTTAAGTAATAATTTTTGAAAACAATTGAATTCATGAGAAGAAATATACTTAAAATCTTGAAAGTATTTTTGCCAAAAATTTCTTTATTTTTGAAGAAAATTCAATTCGTATGAAGAAATTTATTTAATATCTTGAAAATAACTGAATTTTTGCTAAATATTTCTTTATTTTTCAAAAACTTGAATTCCTGTGAAGAAATTTATTTAAAATCTTGAAAATAACTGAATTTTTGCTAAATATTTCTTTATTTTTCAAAAACTTGAATTCCTGTGAAGAAATTTATTTAAAATCTTGAAAATAATTGACTTCTTAAGAAGAATTAAAAAAAAATTTCGACAATAATTTAATTCTTGAAAAGAATTTCGCTATCTATTTATAATGATAATTCAATTTCTGCAAAGAATTTTATTACTTTTCAAAGGAATTGAATTCTTGTGATGAATTTTTATATTTATCAAAATAATTGAATTTTGGAAAAGAATTTTATTAAAATTCCTTAATATAATTGTTTATGGGAAGAATTTATGCAATTTTGTTGTTTATCAAGCTAATTGAATTCTTTTGCAAAATTTCAAACACATTTTTGAAAATAATTGATTTTGTGTGACGAATTAAATGTTATTTATGAAAATATTTGAATTAAAAAAGGGGGACTTTTAGGGAAATAGGGGACAGACTGTGAAGCCTAATATAAAAAAATATTTTTTAAAAATTAAATTAATTAGTTAAAAAGAATTAAGAGTTTTAATAAAATCAATGAATTTTAAATGCATTTATTATTCTTACCAATGAAAATCCATTTGCAAGCCCTAGAATTGTCCATTCTTGAAAATAATCCTGGATATAGTTTTGTTCTTCTGCATTATCAACTACATTTTCTGTGGGTCTGCTACTTTTTAATCTTTTATTTCTGAAGGCATGTGTAATAGACCATTTTTTAAGCAATACGGGCCATGAATCGCAACTTTCGTGTTTTAGAAAAGAAATAGCTGCTTTAACAGCGTCGTCATTATTGTCACTGCTCCCTGAAAAATAAAACTTAATTTTAATTTACTAATTTAATTAACAATTTAATTTTTAATTATATGAACGTTTTAAAATAATTATTAAAAAAATGTTCTTATAGATTTACATTTTTAAAATACCTGTTAATTGAGAAGGTTCTGTGAATTTTAATTTTGTCGATTCTGTGCCTGATGTGGAAGGACAACCACTCCCCTGTTTTGCCAATTGATATTTGATGTTTTTAATCTTATTCGGCAATTTGCCGAAAGCATTCCGATGTGCAATATCTGGAGGATTATAATAAATTTCCTACAATAGAAACAGAAAAAAGGATGTATAATAAAGATTCTAGTATAAAGAATTATTTTTTAAGAATCATACTATAATAATTATTATAATTACCTCACTTTCGCATGGAAAAAGTTCACAAATTTTTGTTGCAGCAGTTTTGTACTCAGTGTGACCTGGCCTAAACACATAAAAAGTTAAAAGTATTTTGTTATTACAAAAATGTTGCCATATTTAACTTACGTAAAATTTTTCCTCAGAATAGCTTCAGCTACAGCATCACAAATGTGCGATCTATCCGATTCTATTAAGAAGCCATTATTTTCATAATTTTCTACAGCAATTTGTGATGTAATTGAGAATTCATTTAAATACTTATGTAAATCCTGTAAACGTTTTTAAATTATATTTTTCAATTTAAAGATTTATATTTAATGTATAAGTCAATTAAAAATTTTAATTACCAAATTCTTAAGAAACTCGGTTGCACTCCATGAAGCTAAATGTTTGTTCTGTTTATTTTCATCACATCCAGCCGAACGTTTTCTTTTCTTGCTTTGTGATTTATTCGTATTAGATTCTTTATTTATATTTGCAGAGTTCTACAATTTGAAAAATTAAATATTATAAAAAAGTGAAACAGTCAGGGTGGCCACCAGACCTTGAAACCTTGAAATGGACGTGAATTTTGTCAAACCTTGAAAAAACCGTGAATTGGACGTGAATTTTTTTAAAAACCTTGAATTTTAGTACTATATATTATTAAAACCGAAAAAAAAATTTTTTGACCATTTTCAAAATTTTATTTTTTGATCAGGGAATTCAGGGAAAAGTCAGGGAAAGTAAAATTGGTCAGGGAAGTCAGGGAAAAATCAGGGATTTTTATTTAAGTAACTGGAAAAAATTGAATTTTGGAGAAGTTGCAAATGATTGCAGAAATTCAATTATTTTCAAAAGTAATAAAATTCTACGCAGAAATTCAATTATGTTCAAAAATTTAAAAAAATTCTCATAAAAATTCAATTATCTTTAAAAATAATAAAATTCTTCTCCAAATTTCAATTATTTTCAAAAATTTTAATAAAATTCTTTGCAAAATTTCAATTTTTTTCAAAAAATTTTTCTCAATTCAATGATTTTCAATATCTACAGTTTTAATAAAATTTTTCAGAAGAATTCAATTATTAAAAAAAAAATTTTGATAAAATTCTAAACAAACTTCGCAATAATTCAATTCTTTTCATAAATAATAACATTTTTTACAAAAATTCAATTATTTTAATAAATAAAATTCATCATAGAATTTCAATTATTTTTAATACAATTTCAATTGAATTCCTCGAAAAATTTTATTATTCTTGAAAATTTTATTAAAATTTCTCGACAAAAATCAAATTTGTTGATAAAATTCTTTATGATAATTTAGTTTCGATAAACATTCATTTATTCAATAAATTATTTATTTTTATATTTAAATAATTGAATTCTTGTAGAATTTTCCAATAAAAATTAATTTTAAAATGAATATTAGTTAAAATTTTAGATAATAATTGAATATTAAAAGCATTATAGCATGAATTTTTAAAAATACATAATTGATAAAATACATAGAACATAATTGAATTCTTTCAAAGAATTTGCTTAAAATTGTATTAAAAATAATTGAAATCCTGTGAAGAATTTTATTAATTTATGAAAGTAATTGAATTCTTGCAATGAATTTTTTCAAATTTTTTTTTAAATAATTGAAATAATTTAAAGAATCTTATTATTTATGAAAATAATTGAATTCCTGCATCGAATTTTATTACATTTTTTTAAATAATTGAATTATTTTGAGAACTTTTATTAAAAAAGTAGATTGTGAAAATCTTTGAATTTCAACGAAGAATTTCATTATATTCGTGAAATGTAATTAAATTCTTACAAAAAAATTAAGAGAATAATTCCATTTTTCTAGGAATTCAATTTAAATTGTATTATAATTAATTGAAATCCTCAGAAAAATTTTATAATTTATGAAAATAATGGAATTCTTACAACGAATTTTATCAATTTTTTTTTAATAATTGAATTCATGTGGAAAATTTTATTACTTGTAAAAATAATTGAATTTATGCAACGAATTTTATTACATTTTATTTAAATAATTATATTCTTTTGAAAACTTGTATTAAAAATGTAAATTTTGAAAATTTTTGAATTTCAGCGAAGAATTCCATTATTATAATTTTTGTAAATAATTTAATTTTTTTTTTTTTGAAAAATTTTATGGAAATTAAAATTTTTATAAAACATGAATGATTTATAATAATATTGATTCTTATAAATTGTTTAATTTTAAAAATGTTTGAATTTGAATGTTTTGAAGAATTTTAATTCCTATGGAAAAATAATAATTAAATACTTATTTAAAAATTTAGTTATTGATGTTTGCGAATAATTTTACAATTTAAGAAATTCGTAAGTAAATGTAATAGAATGTTTTTAATAATTTTTAGAGGGAATCAGAATATTCTTTATGGTCAGGGAAAAAGTGAAAATTTTGTCTGGAAATCAGGGAAAAATAAAATTAAATATTTGTGGCAACCCTGAATTTTTTAAAATCTATACGATTGATTGTTCAGAATCGTAAGAAAAGCCTATAAAAAATTCGGCAATAAAAAATAATTAAAAATGTGGAAGTAGTTGAATTTTTTAAGTATTACTATAGTAAAATTTGAACCAACAAAAAAACCTTGAAAATTTCCTAGAAACCTTGAAAAAACCGGGAAATAGACGTGAATTTTATTCACGAGTTTTGGTGGCCACCCTGAACAAGGAATAATTACCGAAAATGATTCGCTTTAGACAATACCTCTTCATCACTGATTGTAATTTCTTGCGATTCCTTTGAAACTGCCAATTCTTCAGTCTCTTTAACATTCTTCGACGATGTCGGTTTATTAATTTTTTTTCCAATTTCCTCTTGATTGTCTGTCGTACTTGGCACTGTAATCAATGGATTTAAGTCTCTTAATTCGTCCTTCTCACTTTGAAACAATGATTTGTCGGTTGCGGAACTGAAATCTCCGTTTTCAACCTGTAAATTTAATCAAAATAATTTTGACACCATAAAATATACAAATAAATAAATATAGCATTAAAATACTTAAAAAACCAATCATATGTCGATTTGCAATAATAATTTAAATACCTCATGTTCTAATTTTAGACACTCTATTAAATCTAAACGAAGTCCAACTTCTGGAACGAATTCTTTAATCAAAGCCTCGTTCAAACCACGCAACCTCTTCATAGTGTTTATTTTTTGACCTAACACAAGCAAAAAGCGAAAAACAAATTCCCAAGAAAGTATGAAGAAAAATAGTAGCAAGAAATTTAACAGATAAAACGAAAATAAATTAAAATTACAATTAAATGTTATAATATTTAAATAAATAAAATTAAAATAAATAACAAATTGCAAATGCAAGAAGACTAGACATAATCAAATAAAAATTCTCTCAATTAAAAAGCGAAAAACAAATTCCCAAGAAAGTAATAAGGAAAATAATGGTAAGAATTGTTACATTTAAATATATAAATAAAATTAAAATACATAACAAATTGCAAGTGCAAGAAGACTAGACAAAATCAAATAAAAAATCTCACAATTAAAAAGCGAAAAACAAATTCCCAAGAAAGTAATAAGGAAAATAATGGTAAGAAATTTAACAGATAAAACGACAATAAATTAAAATTACAATTAAAGGTTGTAACATTTAAATAAATAAATAAAATTAAAATACATAACGAATTGCAAGTGCAAGAAGACTAGACAAAATCAAATAAAAAATCTCACAATTAAAAAGCAAAAAACAAATTTTCAAGAAAGTAGGTAATAAGAAAAATAGTAGTAAGAAAAACAGATAAAACGAAAAGAAATTAAAATTGCAATTAAATGTTATATCATCTAAATAAATAAATTAATTAATTTAAAAAGAAATAAATGAAATTAAAATAAATAATAAATTACAAATGCTAGAAGACTAGTTTGCTTGTGCAAATGTTTACTTTTCTAACCTCAAAATGAATGAAAGAGAAATTGAATGCATTGTACAAGTTAAATGAGTGATACAATAAAAATTTACTTACATTCAAAACGATCTTCTAATTCATAAAGCCCGTACAATCGAAGCCACATTTTCACTTCTTCCATATTAACTGTATTTTAATAAAACAAATTGAAAATAAACATTCACGTGCCCGCGCGAATCTCTGCACTTTATAATAAGTTTCTGCTATCGCCCGATTGCACATGCGCATAACGCCTCTCCATACAAGTATATATTCTAATTCCTAGAATATATTCTTCTTTTAAGAATATCAACTAATATTGAAACTATTTGATGGAAATATACTAAAAGTTTTAGAATATACACTAAAGAAAATAGTCTAGAATATTTTATACTTAGTTTCAGAATACTTTTTTTTCGGTGTACATATTTTTTAAATTTCCAAAAATTAAATTTGTTAATTAAAATTATTTAATATCTTTGCGTATATGAGTAGGTATTGAAATTGAAATTAATGTAATAAGAATAAATAACATTAATATTTGTTTATCGGTTAATATATTAATTTATTTATTCCATAAATAGAAAAATAAATATAATAATAAATAAAATTAAAATGAGTTAATATAATCTCTCTATAAAAAGATTTCGCAGCCAGATTCAGTGCACTGAAGTTGACCTTAAATGACCTCATACTCTCTGAATTTGGCCTCACATGACTTTGAGATCAAATTTTGAGGTTATGTACGACCTTTGTACTCTGAAGTTGGCCTCAAATGACCTCCTATGACTTTAAGATCAAATTTTGAGGTAATGTTTGCCTATTGTCCTCTGTAGTTGGCTTCTGACCTTTGCCCAATTTTGAGGGTTTTGCAAACTGATTTATAACTTTTGACCTAATTTTAAAGTTACTACCCAGCAAACACGTTATATAAGTATTCTATAACAGTGAGGTTACAGTGTTATAGAACATTTGTTCCTAACTAGTTATAGATCTGTGATAGAACCTGATTGTAACAGAGTTCTAGAACATAGTTACAAGTTAGTTACAGAATAGTTCTGTATTATGCTTATGTCACAGTTCTATCACAATGTGATGTAAGAGTTACATAACTTTAATGTCGCAAATTTTCTGTAACTGTTGTTCCAACCTTGTTCTATAACTGTGTATGAACATTGTTGTGTAATTGGTCTAAACATCTGTTGCAATGCAGTTCTGTAATATACAGTTTAACATTGTCTGAACAATGTTAAACTCTTCTAACAAATTTGGTGTAGTTCATATTATTTTTAATATAATATAATATAATTCGTAATAATTTATAAAAAATACCTATATGGGTGATTCTTCATTAAGTGGTCACTTTTGCTTCCCCTCTGTTTCCTATTTAATAACTTGAAAAATTGTTACCTAATCTACTTCAAACTTTTGCGCATAATTAATCTTCAATATGTTTTTTAGTAATATCATAATCGAAAATTTTTTTTTAATTAAAACAAAAGTTGTAATTCAATTGCAAATGTTCAAAAAATGCACATTTGTCGTTTCTCCACACATGAATCATGAAGTTTAATATGTTTTATTTTGCACAAACTTTATTTTAAACGTTTTTTTATTATTATTCTATTCGAAAGTTCATCTCAAAAACTAAGTTTTAGTGTGTCGTTTTCTAATTTCCATTAAAAAATCTGTGTAAAAATATTTTTTTAATATTTTCCCCAATCTTTTTTTATTTAGAACTGGAGTTTACAATTTCATTGATTTTCATTAATTTTATTCCCTTTTTTAGTGCGATTTTATTTGCCATTAATATTATTAAGTTAATAAGTTGTATTTATGTTAAATTTGCAAAAAGAAATATAATTTTTAGATTTAAAACTACAAAAGTTACTATTATTTTATAGCGTATTTTAATGGTATGTAACTCCATACCCGACAAAATTGCCGAATTCTAAATGTATAAAAAAAAATAAAAATAATAGTGATTTAGAGTAAGCAAATCTCTTTAATAATCTGCAAAAATTGTTTATTTTATGAATTTTTACGGTTTCAATGAATTTTTTTCTTTGATTTGTAAACTCCAGTTCCTGTAAACTCCAGTTCCTAATTTCGTTTCGCGTAATGGAAGTGTTTTGTTTTCTTGAATAAATATTATTATCCTCGATTAACCTGTATCAAAACAAGTAATTTCAATAACAGGTATGAGTAAAAATATTATTTATTTATTTATTAAAGCAGTTTAAAGTAATTATTTGCTTATTTACACTATTTATAATTATTCACAGTCGAAAATTAACTTTTTCAAATAAATTATTTAACCTTTAAATTATAAAATTTTTAAATTGTTTGTATATAAAACTAAAGAAAGAATTAAACTCAAATATCTATAAAATAATCATTTTCAAGCTTTATTAAAAAGATCTAAATAAAAAATTTCCAAAAAATTTAATTAAAAAAGAAAATTTTAACATATTCAAAAGTTACCACTTTGTGGAGAATCACTCATATAGTAATTATTGACAACAAATTGCTTTCTTATTTCTTTTATACTACTATCAGTAGCATTTTTTACTCTATCTTTAAATTTTCTTCAGTTTTATTATTCTTCTATTAGTGACTATTTAAACAATATTATTATGTATAAAAGTCTCATAAATGTTTTAAAGGTGCATGTAATGTAATCGAGAATGTAATTATTCGTTAATTGTTTGACATTATTATTATTCGTAATAGCAAATTTTTTTAATTAATTAATTTCACAAAGAATTTTGTAAAATCTATTTATATTTAAATGAAAAATTATAGAATATAAATTTGTTATAAAAAAGTAGAAATTTCATTAATTAAGCTTAAATTTATTGCTTTAATCTTTCATTTAAAAAGTAATTTTTAAGCCTTTCCTTATGCTTGTAACTTTGAAAATTTACATTTTTCAATTAACATTATTAAATATAATGTATATTATACATAACATAATTATACTATTGTTGCAAATACAGTATCCTTTTTCAAGTTACAAAGCACATTTTCATAGTTCCTTCGTTATATATGTAAATTCTAAACTTCCTTTCATGAGCCTCCGTGGCGCAGTTGGTAGAGCGTTTGATTTATAATCCACTCCTAGCTGCGTCTTGCGTTCGAGACCTCGTGGTTGTAAATATTTAAATAAATAGCAAAACAAATTTTCTTCGACATGTATAAATATTCCGGGTATGTATGACATGCGAGAACAGCGTGGAATATTTTTTTAATTTTAATTAAAATATTTTTTAATGACAGATATGAGTAACAGAAATTTGTAACTGTTCTAGAACTGTGACAAGTATCTTCGTCACCATGTTACAGATCTGTTACTTAACTGTGACAACCTTCTGACTACGACATTTTGCGTACCCAGTGAGTCCCCTGTGAGTCACCAGTTACATCACATGTTCTTCAATTATTTGTCACAGTTCTGTAACAGATCTGTAACAGTGTTTGCTGGGTAGCACTTCCGAAGGCCGCAAGCGACTGTCTACGGTGCTAGTTATGTCCATTGTCCAAGTCTATTATTTTCTTACTAATAATAATAATAATATTATTGATATATATTTTCAGGGATGGGTTCGAAAGTTTAGTTTCGTTTTAGTTTCGAAACGTGCAACAAAACTAAATGGTCGGTGTATTTAGTTTTGGTGCCAGATTCGAAACTAAAAGGTCGGTATATTTAGTTTTGATTCTGGATACAAAACTAAAAGGTCCGTGTATTTAGTTTTGGTGCCAGATACATACGAAACTAAAAGGTCGGTATATTTAGTTTCGTAGCGTCTAAACTATTTAATCAATCAATTTCGGGTTTGCGGCTAATTAAAGGCAACTAAATTCTACTGGGGTTATACCTTTAATATGATAAAATTGTTAACAATAGAGATTTTTACAAGAGGTCAAATATGGAAAAATAATGCAAAAACGCAATTTTTTTAAAAATGTGTCCGCCATTTTGTCATTTTGTTAACTTTTTAACTATTTTATAGGTATAACTTATTCTTTAGGATGTCATCTTTACAAAAAATTTTGAGTTTTTGTTAGACTCAAAATTGCGCAGTGTAGAATGCCCACCGTTTTCCCTATTTAAAAAAATATTATTTTCTAGATGCGCCATATTGGCCGCCATTTTGCATTTTTTTAAAAATGAAATATATGTTTTAAAAGTTCAAGAATGTATCTTTATTTAGCGAAAAAAACTACTTTGCTAAGTCATAGCCGTTCCTCGCAAAAAATTGTCAAAGTTTGTGTTTATTTTGGCCTCCGCAATGAGAATCTCCCCTTAAGCGACCCCAAAAACGTTAAAAAAAATTTCGTTCAATTTTTTTTCATTAATTTTGGCATTTTTATTTATATTATTTGTAGGTTCATGATTTTGTTGACTTTTCTCGCTTATAATTAAGCCGTCATATTGAATTTTCAAGATCGCCCAAAAAATTAATTCTAAAATTAATTAATAAAATAAATAAATAAATAAATAAATTAATAATCGTCTGAGTACTAAGCCAGTGGTGAACATCGGCACTACACTGGCATTTCCTATTGGGTTAATATCTTTTGCTACTCAATTTAATTTAATTTAAAAATTAAAAAGAGAAATAATGCATAAAAAATTAGAATTAATTATTTAATTAAGTAATTATTATTAACTAATTAATTGAAAAGAAAGGATTTTATAAAAGAAGTATTTCACTATTTTATTTATTTAAGAATTAATCACACATACATATTATAATGTTTACTATTTCTTTAGAGGAAAAATAATTTTTGTAAATTTTATTTTAATTCGTAATAAAATATAGTAATAAATAATTGATTTAAACGTTTTAGATTCCGGATGCCTTTGTGCAATTGAAGCTTGAGTAATTTTTTTTGTCGTCTAATCATTTATACATACAAGTTCGCGAGCAATGTCTGGGTTTAGCCTGATTCTATGTTTCCTTATTAATATAAGGACGATCGCGAGAAAAGACGTTCTACGGAAACTGATGTTGCCTGTATGCCAAGGAAGTCTCGGGCCATACGTACTAAATTCGGGTAAACCATTTGATGATTTCGCCTCCAGGAGAGAATTTCTACAGTTTCATCAGCTCAATCAGATGACAGATAGGGGAGAGTCTCTAGTTGTGAGACACCTCCAGTTGTGAGAGAGTCAATTTTTTTTAACATGCAATATTAAAAAGCCGATTGGTTTATATAAAAACATTTCTTTTTGTGTGTGATAATCGACTAAAAAGCGTTTTTTCAATAAATGCAAAGTACTTTTTTCCAAGTTAATTAATTGGAAAAGGTACCCTCTTAGCAAAAGGATATCCCAGGGATATCTTAGAGATATCTTGCGGGATATTGGG